TAAACAAAGAACCCAACATAAACAAACGAAAAATACAAGGAATCCATCTTAATTGAACAAAACAACCCTACTCTAAACCAACACCCCGGGGTGCCTAGATACCTCTTCTAAGTTTCACAACAGTTCCGGTCATGTGACTTCATTGTTCAATCTGTATATATATATCTGTGTCAGTATAAACTACTTGCACCTGATGATGACAAAACCTTGTCGAAACGTTGTACGTTTGCTGTTATGTTAAACTTATATTAAAGTTTTTCTTCATTACCCATTCAAACCGTCTCCAGCCATTACAGTCTTTAAATGACATATAAAAACAAAAAGGAAGCCACATGGGGATAAGCTGCCTCTAATTTGTTTTCTTCTGTTAGTTCATTGAGAGTGTGATGTTTTAGGTCTTTCCCCAGTTGCTTTTGACTCTGCACCTTACTTGATGGCTGAAAGGTATAGGAGCAAATTTTTAGTTTTCTCTTCATCCACAGCCATTGTGGTTCATACTGGGAGGTTTACTTCTCAGTTACGTGAAGGGGCAGCTATGCTTTATCCAACATGGTAGTTAGAATTTCTTGATTTAGCCTACTACTGCCAGGTGAAAGATTTTTCTGACTCTCAAATAATACATCTGGTCCTCAAATTTTGGGGTTCTAAGATGGAGTTTGTAGTTAACCTGAATAGATCGATGTCCCCTGATGGGACAGAGTAAGTCTATGGACTTACAACTCTAAAATCCAACATTTTGTTTTCTTTGCACTTCTGTCTTCACTTTGTTGGAAGACTCTCAGGATCACCAACTTCATTGATGATGAGCTGGAACCATTGTTAGCATGCAACATTGGTTCAATTGTTGGCTGCTACATTCCTTCCAGTTGTTGTTTATTGTCTGAAATTTCATTGGCTCCTAAAGAGGGTCATAGTTCCACCCTTATTCATGGGTACCAATCCCCGACATCAGCCACTTGGTACATTGGTACCCAGAATAGATTCTGTCTATATCCAAGGGTTATGCAGCTTTGTCGGATCAACACAGTGATGTCTGTATATATATATATTTAATGCCTTCAGGGTCTGTGGGGGCTTGGCTCTGAGATTTTCTGCAAGTGTGGTTACCTTAACCATGGATCCAGGAGGACTACAGGCCCTTGAGTCAGGATTAGTCATTCAGTTCACATCTTCACCAATATTATCCACCCAACCTGTAGGAGTTTGGTTGGTCTGGGGTTAGTGAGAGAGTCATGGTAGTTTTTACGAGGTTTTATTTCCTTCGATTGTTGGGGCTAAGAAGACAGGAGATTGGTGTCCTGTCATCAATCTTTCTCGTTTTCAATCAATGCCCAGATTCTCCAAGGTTCACAAGTTACTCATTCCTCAATCTGAGTTGACATTTTTCTTACTGTGGTTATGGAGGTCCAAGGGATCATAAACATGGATTCACTGGATTCCCCAATTACCTTAGTCTCAAGGAGTTGTTCAGTTGGGACACAACTAAGATATGGGTTCCTCTACCAGCACCTCCTCCAAAGATCCATCTCTTCATGAATGCCTTGCTTCAGGGATGGGGCGCATATACCAACAGTCGAAAATTCCAGGGTCTACACGCTGATGACGAGGCTTTTGGGTTTTGGCAGTGAATGCATTCCATCAGGACTGGACGGGATTACAACTCTATGCCTTCCCTCCAATTTATATGTTACCCAGGGTACTAAGTATGATTTATTCCAACCCATTGTTGGGTCCTGTTAACCCTTTCGATACGGGTCACAGGTGAAAGGTCATATCATCTCATTTGTTGACACACATTCAAAATTTTATTGAACAACTATTTCATGAATTTATGTCAATAAGTTTGGTATCAAATGGTAGATTATAATTCAAATTTTAGAACTATTCATTACTCAATTTCAGCTGTGGTGGGCATTATAATGTGCCAAGCCAATCCCACTTTACTTTGGTAAAGAGTAGCCCAAGAGTTGGCATTGGGTGGTGTTGACAATCTGATTTACCTCTAGTCCACCATCCCTTGTAAAATAGGGATACTTAGTGAAGAAAATTCTCCAGTAGCTTTGGGCAGAATTCAACAAAACAAGCAAATTATTGATTTGTTATATCAAGTTATTTCCCTCACTTGTGTTGTTGATGTTTTGTGATTCTGATGTATTTATAGTTTTTGTTGTTGTTATGTGTACATACATATATATTAAACAATGAATCGGGAAAGTAGAATATTCTAATAAAAGGTATTGTTGATTTAATGCTCGTAATTAATTTTGTATAAAATAAATCATATTGGTTCACAGAGAACATGCAAAGTAGAGGTAGAGGTGGTGATATATGAAATCTTAAGGATTATTATATATATATATATATATATATATATATGTGTGTGTGTGTGTGTGTGTGTGTGTGTGTATGATCTTATATCATACAGTGTTTGAACTGGAATAAAACTATGCATTATGAAATTAATTTATTATTGTAGCAACTAAATATCATGTAATGTTCTGTATAATCCATAACATGATTTTTTTTCCCCTGTTCTAGATACACCTCAAATAGGGTCACTAAGGATGTGGTTGCCTTTCATGCTGGGGACTTTAAAGAATTAGTTTCAAAACTACAGCTTGACTTGTATGAACCTCCCATGTCCCAGGTACCTTTCTAATGTATATGTCTTAGGATGTTGAAGATTTAAGAATTGTCTGTGTTATATAGCATGTGGTTTATTATTGCAATTCAGTGAACCTTCATGAATCTGGACATCGACAATCCAGGTGATTTTTTCATATAGACAAATCTTCACAATGAGAAATGTAATCAATAACCCAAATATTCATATTCTGAATCCAAATGGTTATTTATTATGATACATGATTTGGTAATCCGTACATAACTCCAAAAGTATCAAGAGGGCGTCGATCAGAAATGGGAACAAGATTAATAATTATTGACCACAAAACAGCTGCACTAACTAGTGGGTATTGGTTTATGATAATTTTTATTAGAATGACCTTCTACGTGGAGATATAGGTATAAACCTTATTGAGAGGTTATCAGAGTGATTTATGCTACAGTCATGTCAAGTCACATGGCTCCAAAACAAAGGTGCATAGAAATATCAGCATCATTAATATGTGATATTTGTTTTTACAAGAAAGTGCAAGCCTTGGTTTCATCAGTAGATGTCTGCAAGACTTCAAAAATGGTAAATTTTGTCTGGTTGCGTGTTACTATTAAAAACTGCTTCAAGCATGTCAAGACTTTACCTCAGCCTGAACAGAGTGAAACTGTTGACATGTCAGAAGTCTTTAATGAGATTGCTTATGGAATTCATACCTTAATCTTGAGTAGTAATGATGCTGTGTCAGATTATCACTGAATCAACATTGACCCAACAGAACCAACTGGTCAAGACTTTCTAACACAGACTGAATAAGTGCAGCAGTTTTAACTATTATTCATTATTTAATACAAGCAATATCCTAAAAGTTATATTCGATTTGTTGTATATTTAACCAGTACTGTGTATTCTATATTCTTTAAATAGGTCACTGGTTTGAACAGAATGTTTTATGTGATAATAATGAAATGCCACTTGTATAATTATTGACAACATACAGAATAATTAACTGATGAATTTATTGAACATACAGTTGCTTCCAGTTGCATGCCAAAATTACTAGTTTACATACTTACATTCATCAATCAATAACACATGATGTTAATAGTGTCCACTGTATTCAGAATGACTGATTCATTGCTCCAGATGAATTGGTTCATTACAGAGGTGTTCAGATTAATGAGGTTTCACTGTACCCAACTTTATGTGTTTGGTTTGAAGTAGGTTGTTCATTCACGAGTTGCAATACTTTTTTATAGTTGTTCTGTTTTATTCTTACATCACTACTTTTACATTACTAAATACTAATTTTTATTTCTTGATAATGTTTGTTCATATTTATTGCATTAAATTTTTTTTTAATATATGCTTTATTAACAAGAAATCAAAATATATTCAAAAAAATAAGTGTGGCTTTCATTTAAGGTATATTATTGAATTGCATATATGTGTGTGTGTGTGTGAAAAACAAAAGAAAATTCCTGTTTCAGTTGTAATATTTTTTTGTTTATTTTATCAGTTGATATTTATACATACAAATTTTTATCATTTTGTACTACTTTCAGTGTGTACAGTGGGTAGAAGATGCCAAACTTAACCAACTCCATCGTGAAGGAATTCGCTATGCTCGTATCCATTTGTGTGACAATGATATTTATTTCCTCCCAAGAAATATCATCCACCAGTTCCGTACTGTAACAGCTGTAACAAGCGTGGCTTGGCATGTGAGACTGAAGCAGTATTATCAAACTAATGAAAACCATGTAAAACAGTCCAATGATCCGTCCCCTCACTCAAAGACTGCCAAACCTGAAAGTAATAGTTCTTCCAGGAAACCAAAATGTGAAGGTTCTGAATCTCCAACATTGAAAAAAGTGTCTAGTAACATACCAAAAAAAAGAAGTCTGGATGATGTCAGACAGAAAGAAGAACCTTTGAAGAAGAAGAAGAAAGAAGAAAAAGTGAAGGAAGAGAAAAGCCAAATTTCTTCAAAGACACTACACATAGATGACCACAAGAAAGCAAAGGTGAAAGAAGGCAACAGAACAAGATGTGATCTATTGAACAGCAAGGGGCAGTGTGACAAGTCACCACTTTCAGCTATAAAGGAAGAACCATTTTCAGTAGCTGAAAACCGCAGTATTGAAGACAAGTTAATCTCTGAAGTGACAGCTGTTACAGAGATTTCAAGTAACAAAGATTATACAGAAATAAATGTCAAGGAGACCCTTGATACCATCTGTAAACAAGAGACAATTAGCCTGACTGATGGAGAGGAAAATGAACAAAACTTAAGAACTTTTGATTGGAAAGAGAGAAGTGATGAGGAGAATAAAGACATAATACACACCACAGAATGGAAGGAAAGTAGTTATCCAAAGAAATTGGAAGAAATGAACAATATTTTAAATGTATCACATTGCCGTGAAAGTATAACAACATCATACGAATCACCCAGGGAAGTGCTACCTGATGATGATAAATGTAATGATTCATTAGATACCAACAAGAAAAAGGGGGTTTTATATGAGCAAAAACATGATTGTCCCCTTGATGAATTTCACGAGAACTTTGTTTCTGGTGAACCGTCCTGCCACAACCTAACAACTGACAGCCAAGAAAGCAAACACAATGCTGTTGGTTTCTCCAGAGAGACTCAAAACAGTTTGGTATCTGATATATGGACATCAAGTGTTGATCATTTGGATGAAGCTTCATCACATCAGGTTTCATTTACGAAAAATACCAAAGTTCCTGTATTTGAGCAAAATAGTAGGCACTTATCCCCAAAGACAACAGAAAAATCCTTCCTCAGTGAGCAGACTTTGACACAGTTTCCTAAGAAAGTCAATATGAGCTGCATGACTGGTGGTATGGATTGGGAAAGCCCTGGTGAAAATCCTCAAAACTTTGTCTTGAATAGCAACAACTTGCAGACTCTGAATGAAGCAAGTATTGAAGATACAACAACAGAAAAATTGCCAGAGGATTCACTCAAAACTCATATTCCAGCTGCTAATCAAGAAACTATTTCAAAAGACATTTCTCAGCTACAAGGTTCTCTTAGGGTTTCAAATCTAATGAAAGGAAATTCAGAATCAGATATTTCTGATAACAGGCCTGGTTCTAAGGATCACTCTGAAGAGCCTTTGTGGGTCACAACAACAGAACCCGATGTGTGGAAGTGTGAGGACCTTTCAGAAAATGTGCTAAACCAATGCAAAACAGATACTTCAAAACATGAACAACATTCTACGTACAGTTCATTTGACATACAGACAGAATCCCAGGAAAAAAGTTTTAACCTAGAAAGTTGTATATTTAATAAAGAAGAAAACTTTACAAGAGAAAAGAACAATAAAAATAAGAAAAATGGAAAGCTTGAACCTTCACAATACACTGAAACACTGAAAGGGAGGCCTGACTTCAAAGAAAGCAAAGTATCTGACTTCCAAACTGAAGCTGATGAGGGGTTAAAAATTAATGAACAGTTTGATAGGGAAAAGACTGAAAAAGTATGTAACACTTCTTTATCCAAAGAAAATATTTATGAAATCATCATTTCCAAAGAAAATTCTCTTGAGGGGTCTCAGTGCAAAGAAAAATGTCAAGACAGGTCTCAGTCTAGAAGTAAAATTTCTCACAAAACTACACAATCCAAAGAAAAATCTTGTGATGAGTTTCGGCCGAAAGAAGATCCTAGTTTACAACCCAAGTTGGCAGAAACCTTTCATGAAGAATCACAATCTATAGAGAGTTCTCATGATAGATGTGAACTTCAAGGGAAACCTATTGTTGAAAAATCTGGTTCCAAAAAAAATTACCAACACAAAGAAAAGTATTTTAGTAATCCTTTGTCTAGAGAGAAAAGTCCTCACCAGTCTTTGGCAAAAGAAAATTCTTGTGAAATTTCTCAGTTAAAAAGTAAAAACTGTGAAAGATTGCATTACAAAGAAGAAACCCATAATTATTTTCATTCTACAGAAACTAGTAGAAAATATGAGGATAAAGCTTGTAGTAGTTCACAGCCTAAAGAAATGACAAATTTTCTTAAGTCTCATCCTATAGCAGAAAAATCCCATAGGACTCAATCAAAGGAAAAAGCTTGTGACGTGTCCCCATTTAAGGAAAAAGTTCATGACAAGTCTCAGAGTAAGGAAAAGACTTATAGTAAATCTCATTTCAAAGACAAATCTGATAAATATCGATATAGGGAAAAGTCACGTGAGAGAGCTCACAGTAAATCCAAAGAAAAGGAATCGGAAATTACCACATCCAACGAGAAAAGACTAAATAAACCTAGTGAAAGAAAATATGAAAGATCCAAATCAGTAAAGAAGAATCAAGAAAAAGGAGATATTAGAGGTCATCATCATCATGCAAGCAATGAATTAGAAAAATCCTCCAATATGGATATTCCTGTAATCTTAAAACAAAGTTTTCAGGAAAATACTGCTGTTGAGAGTGATGAAAATGGTAATTTACATTCAGAAGACATCAAGGTGAATTTTCATGAAAAATCTGAGACAAAAACCAGTGAGACATTAAGACCACAGTCAGGGACCTCACAAGTTAGATCTCAGACCACAACCACGACATCCAACCTTGATAGACTTAGTCAGTATACAGGTCCCTGCATAACAGAGTTTGAGAAACCTGCTAGCTGATTTACTGATCATACACATGCCTGTTATTGTGCTGCCTTATATTACATAGAAAGGGTTTCATTAAAGCCAGTATATCTGACTTGTATCCCTTGAAAAGAAACCATGCAACTGATAAAGTATTTGGGGCCAAACTGACTGGTGGTGAGTCCATCCTTCTAAAAAAAAAAAGTTGGCCACACACTCTTTAATAACTTGAAAGGTGTGAAAGCTTTGTTTTAAAGTATAAGACGAAACCATTTCATGTTGGCAGACTTTGTACCCAACCTCAATATGTGCATACACTGTGTTTGTAATGAAGTGAAATAATTTATTTTCTTAGAATATTAGACCAGTCACAGTCCTTTAATACTTGTTCATAGCTTGTCTTGATTGAAGAACATAACTTTTGTGTTGCATGTTGTATAATGGAAACGTTTTATGCATCTGGATCTCTTCCTCGGATTTTGAAACATAATTTTTTGCACATCAGAAATTATTGGATTTAATTTTACTTATCTTGGCTTTTAGTTCCCATCCTTAGTACTAGAATGTTGTTTGTTTAAATAGTAGCCATTTCTTTAGTTACATTGTAGTTCATTATGTGATTATTTTGAGATTTAATGATAACCCAGTAACAATTTTAATGATTGCTTACTTTGAAGTTTCACACACCATTTTCTGTAACGTGTGGACTCAGTTTATTTAAGGTCTTTGATTAAATGATGGTGGTAAGAGGTGTAAATTAAGTATGAGAAATACTTTATCTCCTGAAACGACGTATCTGTTATATTCTAATATATTTTATTCAAAAAAAAAGTACAATGTTCCACTAAGAAGCATAATTCCCAGAATCCTCAGAAAAAATTACAAAGAAAGAGAAGAAAGCTGGGTGTTGTTTGAAATTTATTTGTTAAATTAAGAGTAAAAAAACCCATGAGAGGCTGCTTCTGCTGGGAAACTTATAAGTACTAGTAATCTCATAACAGTTTACTGGTGTACTGAAATTCTGCATAAAAATGTAACATGAATCAGTGTCCTAAATAATGTGTAGTCACCTAAAGAATACTTTCTTTAACCTAAGTTGTACCTAGTGTATGTATTAAAGTACATAGAATTTTACAGAACCACTGGGGTCATGAAATGAATAAATGGATCTTTATCAATGAATTCTGAAATGTTTGTATAAAATTGTTAGATTTTATAGGTGAGTGTAAAGCTGCCTTAATTGACTTTTTTTTTCAGTAGTTAAGCTAAAATGAAAGGCAAGTTAACAATTACTGTTGTTGCCTTTTTAATCTTTTTAGTTGGAACTTTTAAAAGATGGCTTACATTGGTCTGATACTCCGTCTGTTCTTTCTTTCTTTCTTTCTTTTTTTGGAATAAATGGACTACACATTGTAATCATCACATTTTGTCCCAAAAAATAAAATTCCACATTAACAACAAAAGATCACAAATTCTCTGTTTTTCTCCTTTAAAAGAAGTAACATTTTTATAATTTCTTCAATATTTTTTATATCCAATCATATGAAAAAAAATCAAAGTTTATTAATGCATTATTCACTGAAGTACAGCCTCAGCAATCCAGCATAATTGTTTTGGCTCAAACTCTGACATGGAACACAGATTCAGTTTGATGAAACTCCAGCTTCTATTACTGAATTTACAGGAACTTGCCACCTCTGCATAACTTTGTGGCTAAACAGTTCTTTGGTGATAATTAAAATTACATGATGTACTTTTTTGTTTTTGTCAGCTAAATGGAAAAGATCCCTTGTACTCACAACTCAGTATTTAGTCTTCAGGAAGTGTATTAATTTCACAAAATTGGCAATTGAGGCTTCTTTTTATATTTTCTTCTAAGCTACAAATTCATGTTGTGTAAACTGGTGTGAACTTATTAAAGATAAACTATCTTTTTGAATGTAGAACTGGTTTTACTTGAAATATTGATATAAAGTTTTTATGCACCATTTTATTGTTTGTAAATACAGATCTGTTAAAATAGATAACTCCTTGGTAATATAATATTTCTGTATCACATTTTGCTTGTTATTTCTAATTTAAAGTGCTATCAACTCCTGATTTTGCTTGTTATATCTAATCTGAAGTGCTATCAACTCCTGATTTTGCTGTTATTTCTAATCTAAAGTGCTATCAACTCCTGATTTTGCTGTTATTTATAATCTAAAGTGCTATCAACGCCTGATTTTGCTTGTTATTTCTAATCTAAAGTGCTATCAACTCCTGATTTTGCTTGTTATTTCTAATCTAAAGTGCTATCAACTCCTGATATTGCTGTTATTTCTAATCTAAAGTGCTATCAACTCCTGATTTTGCTTGTTATTTCTAATCTAAAGTGCTATCAACTCCTGATTTTGCTTGTTATTTCTAATATAAAGTGCTATCAACTCCTGCAAAGTTTGAAAACTATACCACTCTCCTAGTACAAGATTCATACAATAATAATTTAGAACATAATAACCACAAGATTCATCACACTTTAGTAAGTTGTTTTTGTTTAGTTCCTAACCATTCTGTCATGCATAAATATATCATAAAATGAAAATTGTTTAAATACAGTTGTTAGGATTTGTAGGAACAAAATATATTCGTAAATTGCACTGTGTGGCTGACCACTGTACTTAAGTGTATCCCTGTGAAACACAGGAACTTACTAAATAGTTTTGTTTTTACCCGTGAAAGTAAGATGTAGTTTTGTGTTACTTTGTTAGTTTCCAGTTGCTTCAAGACAGTAAGAGGCACTCTTTCTGAGCACATTTTCCTATGTATAGTTTTTATTTTTATTATTACGTCTACAGCAGAGGAAAGCTACATGTAATTTCAAACAGTATGAATTTGTCGTTATTAATATAAGCCAATTTCTTTGTATGTTGCAGTAACTTTTGTCAGTACCGTTTGTAATGTTATTACTGGGAGTTATTGATTATAGCCCCTCAGTAAACAGCAGTGTATACACGTCAAATTGAATAGACGTTGGTAACGATCTCATTGTTTTCCATGATTTTGGTCGTATGGGGATGTAATGCATTTATGTATTTGTTTTTACAAGATGGGATTCCGTGCCTTGCTATGTAGACAGTTAAAGGTATTTTGAGTTTTTCCCATACATATATATAATTACTATGTGCCGATTTTCTCTCTTCTTAGGCGTGAATATGAATTAAATAACTTTGTAACCATCAGAATGCACGTCATTTTTTACCAATCCTTCATGAATGTTTCAAAAATTGTTGAGATTAAGATATTAGGTCGATATTGAATAAGAAAATTGACAAATTTTATTATTACTTTTACATTTATCACAAGTTTTCGTCTCTTTTGTTTTTCCTTCTTTCTCTCTGACAACGAAGCATATCACATTAATTTTCTGTTGTACCAAGCAGTCTGTAAAGCACAATTTACTTACTGGTTCAGGCTGCCTATAAAAATATAGATATAGTAGTACACATTTTCTAGAAATATGACAATACTTAAGATGAATAAGTTTCAGTACTAAAATAAAAATATTTGAGTGTATGTATGCCTTTTTTCTTCATTTTGTGAATAATTCACTTACGAAAGTAATGTAAAAAAATTTATTTAAGCATGAAGAAACAATGTAATAAAGAATTAAATGATAGCTTCAAGAAATTTTGTTTTACTTCTTCTATATTTCTATATCTTCTATATTTAGTGGAATATCCAATTCCAGAAAGCACTCGGTATGCTTGTAGTTTTTACCCCTAACCATGAGATAGAATACTAATGGTACGATAACTTTAATTTACGTTTTGTGGTATTCAAGAAAGGAATACAGATATTAAAAGTAATGATTAATATTTAAACGTTTAAATACGGATATATAATTAATTATAGGTATATTCAAATCACGCTGGACCATAAACTTATAAAAAACGTAGAAGTAGCAACATTACTCATTTCGCGAGGATGGCCGTGTATTTCACGGAAAAGAATCAAATCGTCAGCATAATGGTTTTCTTCAATTAAAGTTATGTAAAGTTACATATTGATGACGTGGTATGTTACTACATTTTGCATGAATACACATTGATACGTGTTCCCACGTACTCTCTATCCATTTCCCTGCAGAGCAGAACATATTACTTTATAAAATCTCTCTCACACCGAATAGTAGAATACAGCGTATTAAAAACGTATGTTTCCCTAATGACTTAATCTGTAGCATAAAATAAACATTTCAGATACACTGTTACATAACGTAGGGTTCTTTGGTTCTCCAATGTTGTCCCTGCACATCCACCCTTGAGAAATACCAAAAACAGAGGACTTCATTTTTCAGAAAGTTAACGATTCTTGTTTCAAACCATTATAATGCCAACCTCCATTACTGCAGACAGCATCTTATTCCATCAACCAATTGCTCTGTTAGAAAAAGAAAAATAACGCTGTCGACTAGAGCCTAGCCAGAAAATAGCAAATATAATTGATCCAAAAATAAAGTTAACGTGGATTAAAGTGTTTTTTCAAAGATCTCGAGTTAATTTTTGCTTAAAAACTATTCAATTGAAAAATATAATTTTTCGTATAAGCTAAGAATTTTGGTCTCCGTTAATACGTTGGGAGTTAGAATTTAGCTACTGGCAAAACAAATGAAAATTATTTGTTAGTCTTCTATAATTGATTTTATCTAGTATAGATAGATAAATTTTCCACTGTTTTTTTTTTTTTGCGAAACTAAGAACTTGGGCAATATGTCATCAATCCTACCAGTATAGAGTGAAAATTCTGTATTATCTATACGTTTCACTTTACGGCAGAGCAGAAGCCCAGTTTTAACAAAATAAACAGCTGACAAAGGTCGTCTGCTCCAAACGTCGCACAAAATTAAGTAGAAAAAGTTTTCATTTAGACGTGTCAATTAATTCTTTATTATCATATGACCATGTTGTCTACAATAAAAAAGGTAATAATAATAAATTGTCATAAAAACAAGTTAATACAGATTTATTTTTCGCCAAAGGAGCAATTTAAAGGAGAATCTGTGATGTAGAGGCCTAATGTATACACCTGGAAAAAAGTTAAGCACCCCAAATATTTTGCAGGATT